TACACCCACCTCCCATCCTCACACCTCTCTTGTCATGTCATAATAATAGAAACGAATTGGATGTCATCTATAATTTACAGATTTATAAAACATTTATATATATATATATATATATATATATATATATATATATATATATATATATATATATATATATATATATATATGTCGTACCTAGTAGCCAGAACTCACTTCTCAGCCTACTATGCATGGCCCAATTTGCCTAATAAGCCTAGTTTTCATGAATTAATGTTTTTTTCGACAACCTAACCTACCTAACCTAACGTTTTCGGCTACCTAACCTAACCTAACCTATAAAGATAGGTTAGGTTAGGTTAGGTAGGGTTGGTTAGGTTCGGTCATATATCTACGTTAATTTTAACTCCAATAAAAAAAAATTGACCTCATACATAATGAAATGGGTAGCTTTATCATTTCATAAGAAAAAAATTAGAGAAAATATATTAATTCAGTAAAACTTGGCTTATTAGGCAAATCGGGCCTCGCATAGTAGGCTGAGAAGTGAGTTCTGGCTACTAGGTACGACATATATATATATATATATATATATATATATATATATATATATATGATATATGATATATGAAGAAAAAACAGTGAAGGCTAAAAACGAGTGTGTGGGGCGGGCTTGGAGGGAGTAGGTGTGTGATGATGGTGGGTGATGGGGGAGGTGGAGCCAGTGTCACTCAAGCCACTTGCCCACACACACGCGCTCTCTCACCACCACCACAGTCCTCACAGGTAAGTGGATGCTCACCTGTCACCCCATGTAGTACTGCTGTTTGTGAATCACGCTTCCCTGCCCTCTCTCTCTCTCACGCACATGTACGTACGTACGGTACATGCGTGTACAGATTTCGTATTTAGACATCTAACTATTTAACCCCCAGTGTACGGGGGCTGTGGGAAGGTCCGCTCCACAAGGAAGGTGCCAATTTTCCGCCGACATTGAACTGCCACCACAAACGACACGTTTCTATATGAATGTCTGCAGCTCGCAACACTGCTCTAGACAACCTTCCTAGCGAGAGAGTAACCACTTCTAGCGGACAACTTTCCCAGCGAGAGAGTAACCACTTCTAGCGGACAACCTTCCCAGCGAGAGAATAACCACTTCTAGCGGACAACCTTCCCAGCGAGAGAATAACCACTTCTAGCGGACAACCTTCCCAGCGAGAGAGTAACCACTTCTAGCGGACAACCTTCCCAGCGAGAGAGTAACCACTTCTAGCGGACAAACTTCCCAGTGACAGAGTAACCACTTCTAGCGGACAACCTTCCCAGCGAGACAGTAACCACTTCTAGCGGACAAACTTCCCAGTGACAGAGTAACCACTTCTAGCGGACAACCTTCCCAGCGAGACAGTAACCACTTCTAGCGGACAAACTTCCCAGCCACAGTAACCACTTCTAGCGGTCAGAGGACGTCAACGCTGGAGCACCACCCGCCCCCACTTCCCTCTCAATCCTCAATCCGCTGGTGCACTCTCAATCCACAATGAGAGGGGAAAAACTATAAGCACACAGCCGACTGTGTTTACACACACTGACCAACACACACTAGACAAGTACACGGTCAAACAAGCGTGAATCACCTGCTCATACATTCGGAGCTTTTGTCACGCTGGGACCCGCTCGCCGCCTCCCTCAACCCAAACAACTAAACTGTTTCTCTGCCGCACTGAGCAAAAACAAAAAAAAAAAAACCTGTATCATACATAAAGCAGCTTTAGGAAAATTATTAATTCAAGGGCAATTACGTGTGCAATTATTCAACAGATAATACTGAAAGAAGAAAAACCTAACTATATATATATTCTGAAGCTGGATCAAGAGATAACAGCAGTTTCTGAAGCTGCCGTCAGCGATAACAGCTTCTCAAGGTGGTAGGAGAAGATCAAATGTCCCCCCCCCCAAGCTGGTACGGAAAATTGGTAAAAATAAAACCTGTTTTGATTTGCCATATCTGAGAAGAAAAAGGCAATTGATGGCGAAATATGAATATTCTGATTTCTTCCCCCTTGGTGGTTGGTGGTACACTGGTACAGTGTCTCAGTGTAGCGGTGACGTACGTCGGTTGTACAGTGTTCACAAGTATTGCAGAAAATGTGGTGTGTGGTTGTATGGGGGGTTGTGGTTGTATGGGGGGGGGTGTGGTTGTATGGGGGGTGTGGTGTGGGGTTGTGAGGAGTGGGGGGGGAAGGATGTGTGGTGTGTGTGTGTGTGGCGACACTGAGCAACATACTCCTAGATTGTAATACATCACTGGCTACAATGGCTCTCCTTGACCGACTGCTTCACCTGTGTACAGCTCAGTGGTCACAACATTGTTCCTGTTATGTGGGTGTTATGTGGGGTGTTATGTGGGTGTTATGTGGGGTGTTATGTGGGTGTTATGTGGGGTGTTATGTGGGTGTTATGTGGGTGTTCCCTCAGTCGATCATAACACTGTCGTCCCCATGGTAATACTCGTATCGTGATGTCATTGAATCTCTGTACCGTGGTTCTGATGCTTCATTGTACCATGATACCGTTACTTAATTGTTCCATAGTACTATTGCTTTATTTTACCGTTGCTTCTTTAGACCATGACACCGTTGCTTAATTGCATTAAGGTACCGTTGTTTCAATGTACCATTGTACTGAAGCTTCATTCTGCCATAATACTGTCACTTCATTGTATCATGGTACTAAAATTCCATTGTGTAATGGAACAGTTGTTACTATTTCCCTTCACTTCTTAAGCCCTACCTCTCCCTTCACGTGCTGGCTCCACCTCTTCTCTCCACCTCTCTCTCTCCACCTCTCTCTCTCCACCTTCTCCACCTCTCTTCCTCGCCTCCCGCTGCTGTCATAACTTATTTTCCAAGTTAATATCACTAGATGCCAAGTTACAGCCCCGCTCCTGTGCCAGGTAAGTCCACTACGGGCTCCCCATAGCCCGTGCTACTTGGAACGTTTTGTTCCCAGTAGCTGAATCTTAAACCACTAGATGCCGCTGATGGGGCCACGAGGGTGCCAGACACTTTCACCCAAGGGACTCCTCAGTGACTGCTTCATCCTTCAATTGTCTCGCGGATCCTCATTCACACACTAATATCCTTTACTAAAGGTTATAATGACTTCGTTGCACAATAATGCACACTATTGTCACACTTTTTACAACATTTGTCACGTATTCACCTGCGGGTTGAGAAGGTGGGAAAGGTACAGGGGGCAAAATGACGACATGAAGGAGAGAGAGGGCAAGAGAAAGGCAGGAGTGAGTATGTCAGAGTTAGAAGAGAAGCAGAGAGGCAATTTGAAAACGATATGGCAGATAAAGCAGACTCAAACTGATCCTCAACTGAGTCGAAATGAAAACGACAGAATAGGAACAAGTAATGAAGATAAGGGAAGGCACATTCACAGAGAATGATAAGGACGTGGACAATGAAAACAACTGATTTCAAGAAAACTTCACAATAGAAATAGAGAAGTTGCCTGAACAGAGATAGTGTGTACCAAAACAAATGGAATTGGAATGATCTGCGATTACTTAAGGCGAAGAATTTCTACAAGGTGTTAAGGAGACACAGCAGCTTATGGTGCTGTGTCCTCCTTAAGCACACAAGCTTAAGGTGGACACAACAAAGGCTCTGGGACCAAAGAAGATCGTAGAGGGGAACTGAACGAAGGCGCTGAAGCTACCACAAAGATGAAGTTCATGAAATGTTGTAACCTCTATACGAAAATGGAGCCAAAAGTGAGGTATTAAACTACAGACTGTGGCGCTTACAGTCGTGCAATGTTCGCTCGTGGAAACAATGCTAAGAAATATGTTATTATAATATATGGATAAAAAGGTTTTTTTTATAGCGGAACTCCTACATGATTCAGGGACAGCAAATCCTGCATCACAAATCAGATGGAATTCGGTTACAAGGTAACATAAATCAGACAGGACTGACAGGGATGGACAGACTGCTGATTTTTAGACTGTCAAATTTGATACAGTAAACCAGTGCTCAAGTTGAAGCAACTCATGAGAGTGGCTGGAAAGTTGTAACAATGGGTCAAGAACACCTATGTAACATATAGTACATAATGTGACGAGATATTCTTAGCGGTGTCCCACAGGGATCATTATTGGCACCAATTCTATTCGTGATTTACGTGAAGGACTTCCAAGAGAGGATGGACTCCTCCTTATAAATGATTTCTGGTGATGTAACAATTCTGAGGAGGAGGAGGGACGTGAAAGAAGACTGCAAGAGGTACCAGAAGAGAGTGTAGACCTGGAGACAGAGAGAGACATTGAAGGTTGACAATACTCTGAGGCAAGTCCCCCGAGGCACACACATTACCCACACAACATTAGTGTCATGTGCAAGGTCGGACATAAACTTGAGGTCAAATGTAGGTACTCGTGTAGGAGGCGTTATTAGAATTAATTTCGAACAATTCTGGAATATGTAGCACCCGCGTGGAGTGCTACATATTCCAAATATATAATATATATATATAAAAATATATATATAAAAATATATATAATATAAAAAATGAAGGTGAGGGGGTTGAGAGGAGTGGTCAGCCTCACCAGTGATCACAGAAGGGGGCCGCCTTCTCCCCGCCGTGATAAATGTGGCCATAAGTATTTAAGAGCTTTTGCAACCTCTGCAATATTTTCCAAGCAAACTCTTGCACGTTCGCACCATGTTTTCCATCAGTAGTTCGCTGACAGCAGCCTTCAGCTGCCTTCAGTAGCCTCCAGCTGCCTTCAGTAGCCTCCAGCTGCGTCCAGCTACTTCCAGATGCCTCCGACAGCCTCCAGCGGCCTCCGTAACGACCCATCCTGCCATAAGTGGTCGATCAGCGTTCGGGTCCTTGGCACGCGACCTTGTTCGCTAACCACAATAGTCTGTAATTTCCAACACTCGTGCCGTGTGAGCTTACGACACAGTAGATGTTAACGAACTCTTCAACAGACTCCGACGGGGTCAGTCCGCACTCACTCTCAGGTGTCTTGTTCCACGCTTCCTTGTCCCACACCTGTTGAGTTTTGGGAAGGAAGACCATGAATGGTGTGCTTGTGTATGCATATTTGTATGGTGGTACTGGGAATGGCCACTCTGGAGGTACTGGGAATGGCCACACTGCTGGGAATGGCCACACTGTTGGTACTGGGAATGGCCACGCTGCTGGTACTGGGAATGGCCACACTGCTGGGAATGGCCACACTGTTGGTACTGGGAATGGCCACTCTGGAGGTACTGGGAATGGCCACGCTGCTGGTACTGGGAATGGCCACACTGCTGGGAATGGCCACACTGTTGGTACTGGGAATGGCCACTCTGGAGGTACTGGGAATGGCCACGCTGCTGGTACTGGGAATGGCCACGCTGCTGGTACTGGGAATGGCCACTCTGGAGGTACTGGGAATGGCCACGCTGCTGGTACTGGGAATGGCCACGCTGCTGGTACTGGGAATGGCCACTCTGGAGGTACTGGGAATGGCCACGCTGCTGGTACTGGGAATGGCCACTCTGGAGGTACTGGGAATGGCCACGCTGCTGGTACTGGGAATGGATCATATTCCCAGTGAGGGCAGTAGTGCTGGATCACTAGTGCATATTCTCAGTGCGGGATCCAGTGAGGGCAGTAACACTCCAGGCTACAATTTATTTAACCCCATGTCGTGGTACAGTTGACTAAGACGCTTCTGGGAACATCCTATACGTAGGTTCGAACCCTCATCACGGCCCTTGTGAACTTGTTCATTTGATATATCAGGCTATTGTGAGTTTCTGCGTGTTGTGTTTACACACATTGTTCAGTAAAGAAAACGGGGCAGCGTGGGACTGACTGTTGAAGCCACACACACGTGAACACGACGCTCCGCCCTTGTTCAGATATTCAGGTTGCATCATAACCTTTCAAATACCTTTCAATGCGGACAAGGGAAAGGAGAGGGGTTAGGGAGAGTGGGGGGGCAGAGCAGGGAGAGTGGGGGGGGGGAGGCCAGGGAGAGTGGGGGAGGCCAGGGGAGTGGGGGAGAGGCCAGGGAGAGTAGGGGAGAGCCCGGGGAGTGTGGGGGAGAGGCCAGGGAGAGTGGGGCCGGGAGAGGGGAAACAACTGCCAGAGTGAATGTGATCTTCGTGGCCCCAGGCACTCTCGTGGGGGCACAGGTAACGCATGGTGGAGTGTGTGTGTGCGCGCGTGCGGGCGTGTGTTCTCTTCCTGGACCATTAGCATCGATATCATCAACTCTGCATGTCATAAATCATCAGTAATCAGATTGAACCACCAGCCGTGCCCAACGGGAGGTGAGTGCTCGCCTCCTGTGGTCCTTCGCCTTCACACAGACTAAGATAACACCGTTATCTGCAGATTGGCGCCCAGGCATACGTCCTCACAGTAATATATATATATATATATATATATATATATATATATATATATATATATATATATTATTTATTATTATTATATTATCCGGTTCCAATATATAACCTATGTGAGACGAGGCTAGAGTATGCAGCCCTGGCATGGAGTCCCAACTATCACAAGCTGATGGGTCTGAGATACGAATAAAGCCTTGGAGGCCTCCACCTCGCCACACTGTAGGAGTAGAATTAGCAAAATAGAGAACATAGATGGAAACTGGAGACACAGATGAATCCCATAGATGTGTGAAAGTACACTTTTTTAATATTATAAAGGAGTTAGAGGGAAAAAAGGTTATGCTAACTCGGTGCATGTTTATATGTATGGTAATACAAACGAGAGATAAGAGTTATCGTGCTGGGCTACGAGATCACAACATGGCTCAGAAAGCTGGTGCTCAAGCTTGCGAGCACATCTAGGTGAGCACATTTAGGTGAGCACAATCGCCTCCTCATCTCCCCTCTTCACCTCCAAGGAACGACACTTGAAACAATCGGTCGTGTTTCTTAAAATATAAATTCGCCTGTTACTGCTCTTATTGTCGCTTTATTCTCGTGGCAGTTATTGCTAATGGAGAGAGAGAGAGAGAGAGAGAGAGAGAGAGAGAGAGAGAGAGAGAGAGAGAGCGAGAGACAGAGAGAGACAGCGAGAGAGAGACAGAGAGAGAGAGAGAGAGAGAGAGAGAGAGAGAGAGAGAGAGAGAGAGAGAGAGAGAGAGAGAGAGAGAGAGAGAGAGAGAGAGAGAGAGAGAGCGAGAGAGAGAGAGAGAGAGAGAGAGAGAGAGAGAGAGAGAGAGAGAGACAGAGAGCGAGAGACAGAGAGAGAGCGAGAGAGAGACAGAGAGAGAGACAGAGAGAGAGAGAGAGAGAGAGAGAGAGAGAGAGAGCGAGAGAGAGAGAGAGAGAGAGAGAGAGAGAGAGAGAGAGAGAGAGAGAGAGAGAGAGCGAGAGAGAGAGAGAGAGAGAGAGAGAGAGAGAGAGAGAGAGAGAGAGAGAGAGCGAGAGAGAGCGAGAGAGAGCGAGAGAGAGGAGAGAGAGAGAGAGAGAGAGAGAG